TATCAATTATACTGATACTGTTATCAAACGGCTCCATTGGAGCCATTGGAATCCCGGGAATGTGGTTTGTGCTATTATCATCAGGCTCCATTAAAGCCGATGATGTTTCTTCTAGCTGCAACGCGTACTCAAGATTCCACAATACATCTCCCATAGACGGACGGTCCACACCGTATTCCGCCAAACATTTCTCTGCGGTTTCTCCGAATTTTTTCAGCGACGCCGGATTCACTTTCCCGGTTAAGTTACTGTCCATGATCTGATCGAGCAGACCCTTTTTCTGCCACACCATCGCCCATTCCGCTATGTTCACTTGTTCTCTAGGTAAAACCGGATTTAAAGCCGGTCTACAACAGAGAACTTCCATTAGAACAACCCCGAACGAATAGACATCGGATTTCTCTGTTAACTGCTGTCTCCTGAAGTATTCCGGATCGAGATAACCGAAGCTTCCTTTTACCGCGGTACTCACATGGGTTTGATCGAGCGAAGGGCCGGTTTTGGATAGTCCAAAGTCTGCGACTTTAGCGACTAGATTCTCGTCGAGTAAGATATTTGTAGTTTTCACGTCGCGGTGTATGATGCTCTGCGATGCGCCAGTGTGTAGATAATGTAATCCTCTCGCTGCACCGATGCAAATCTCAAGCCTTTGTTTCCATGGCAAGGGAGGAAGATCAGCACCGTACAGATGACTCCTCAACGGTCCATTCGCCATGTACTCGTAGACCAGAATCATTTCGAATCTCTCGTCGCAGTAACCAATTAGTGAGACGAGATGTCGATGTCTGAGTTTGGATAGCATTTCGATCTCGGTTCTGAACTCAGCCATACCTTGTTCGGATCTCGGGTTTCCTCTTTTAACCGCCACTTTAGTCCCATCTTCTAAAGTTCCTTTATAAACCCGGCCGAATCCCCCAACACCAAGCAACGAGCCCTCATCGAATTTATTAGTAGCCTCCATGATTTCTTGGAACATAAAGCAACGGCCAAGATGTGTAGACGCTAGTGAAATGCAACTACCCGTTGCGCTCTTGTGAGAAGCGGTTGATTTGGTAAGCGTCTGAGAGAGTCCATATAAAGGCAATGGCAACCACGGATGTCCAGTACCGCCTTCTTGAGGACTCGTCGATCGCTGCTTCCTCGACGCAGCCAAACAGCAATAGCAACAAACCGCAATCAGCAGAACCACGGCAAACGCACCAACCACAGAACCGATGATCACTGCTCTCTTCTTGCCCTTAGAACCTGATCCTCCCGGAATAAGAGACTTAACCGAAGAAACACCGCTTAAGCTCTTAGCTTCATTACTAATCTTCAAAACCTCTAACCCATTCATAGTCGCATTGGTGATATCAGCTTGCGAATCGGGTCCAACGCTAACGGTTAAAACACCAGAAGATTCAACAGAACCATTGGAGATAAAATCCTTAAAGTAAGGAACTTTAAGACCATTAGTCAAGGTAGAGAGATCAAGACTTCCAAGAGCAAGATCATCATTGACATAAAGATTGAAAACAAGCGTGTTCAAAGCTTGACTCACAATATCGCAGAAATGAACACGAACAAAGTACCTGAACGCTGGATCTACAGGAAGAACCCAAGTCACATTAAAATTAGGACTCGCTACATTCGCTTCACCCATTGTATCAGCAGTTGCATAAACCATGTTAGGAGCTGTTTCTTGCGTCACAGAAGAAGAGTACTTGATCGAAGAAGGATTCGCTGTTACGACAAGAACAGAGCTGTTCACATGAAGATACTCTGCATCGTTGTCCCATTGTCTTCCCAATGTATCGTTTTGAGAAGTCAACAATGGTCCTCCCAAGTTCAATCTGTAGACTGTCTCAAAAGCAAGCTGAGAGAGACCACTGAACGGAGACGAGGGGTTTAGAGCCAAAGCTTGATCAGGGATAAGATTGTCCGGAACAGAGACAACCTCAATCGCGTTGATAAACACAACCGAATCGTTTGAAGGAATGAAAGTTAAGGTTAAGAAATCTGAAGTGACATTGACTGTGTACTCTTTGAAGATGTAAGAAGAAGCGTTGGTGTTCTTGAAAGAGAAGTTGTTCAAGAGCACGAAATCTTCCGTTACGACAGTGATTGAAGCAGAGTTTAAGTTCCAAGTCGAGTTCTTGACTGGTGAGAAATGGAGACGGATCCAATGTCGACCCAAAGATGTGATTTTGAATCTGTAAGAAGCTAAACCGGAGAAAACACGAGCGGTTTGGTAGATCGAGAGAGAAGGGTTGTTGGTGGAATTGGAGCTAGTTGCTACGGTGGAGTTTCCGATTTTGAGGACGAGAGAGGAATGGGCAGAGTCTGGAACAAAGGTTCTTCCTTGGTGAGTTATGTTATGTGATGAGCCACAAGAAATCAAGTAATTGTCTGGCGGATT